CTGGAAATAGTTTTGCCTGGTAGTAAACCTATCAATATCGTTACTTTGTTATCGTGTACGTAATTTATCATAAATGATTTTTCTACTAATGTTTGTATCTGACTTGCTCAACTTTAAGTGCAAATGAAATTTAATTAAACGGGAATTTAACAACTTTTTGATATTTTAGACTGAAGTGAAATAATATCGCACATCTTTAATCATATTAAAAATCTAATTTCTAATCTTCGTCTAGTGACTCTCTATCTTAGCTTATTTTCTGAAAATCAGGTGAATTGCAAATGACAGAGATTGTAATTTGTAAGATAACGCTCACTCTCCCCCACTCCAGATGGGTCAGCGTTGCGTTTACGGATTTATAATTATAAAATCTGAAATTCGATAAACAGAGCGCAGGTAGCTCATGGGGATGGGAAAGTACTGTAGACCAGCTCAACCAAAGTCAAAAAGAGTTGTCCGCCAGTGGGTCAGTGATAAGTTTTTGGAATTACAATGCTAAAATCCGGGTTTTGATTAGTTCCAATGTTGAAAATAAGCATGTCAAAAAGAATGTTCGTTTAAGCTGAAGCTTCAAAAATAGCTTTAAAGTTGAAGTTACTACTGGAAAGGAATGGTTCTTTTAGCTAACTAATAATCATTACAAATTAGTTTCAGCTTTAAAGTTGAAGTTACCACTTTAAAGGAATAGGTTCTTTTAGTCTAACTAATAATCATTACAAATTAGTTTCAGCTTTAAAGTTGAAGTTACCACTTTAAAGGAATAGGTTCTTTTAGTCTAACTAATAATCATTGCAAGTTAGTTTCAGCTTTAAAGTTGAAGTTATCACTGGAAAGGAATGGTTCTTTTAGCTAACTAATAATCATTACAAATTAGTTTCAGCTTAAAAGTTGAAGTTACCACTGGAAAGGAATGGTTCTTTTAGCTAACTAATAATCATTACAAATTAGTTTCAGCTTAAAAGTTGAAGTTACCACTGGAAAGGAATGGTTCTTTTAGCTAACTAATAATCATTACAAATTAGTTTCAGCTTTAAAGTTGAAGCTACCACTGGAAAGGAATGGTTCTTTTAGCTAACTAATAATCATTACAAATTAGTTTCAGCTTTAAAGTTGAAGTTTGAGATGGCAAACAATCTTTGTTTTAGCTAAATAATAAATTGTCAAAAATAAATAAATATTTGCAACTGATTATGGAAGCGACTGTTAGTTTTATGTGTGACTAATAATCAATTGTTTGAATAGGTTGTTTTACGTTATCTTTCATCTTGTATTTGTGTCATTAACTCATGTTTATTATGATTAGTTATTTTTAAGTTTGGGTTGGAAATGCTAAAGTTATTTATGTTTGAATACTTTTTAACTAAGCCTTTCTTAAACATATGAACTACTTTTACTTATTTTTCTGATACATATAAACAGACAGACAGACAACTTCCTAAATGATACTTTTAATGTTAAGGAAATAAGACGATACTTTCACATGTAATTCAAATACAAATGAAAATTCGATAACTGTTGTTCATATGTCTTATCTAATGAATAAATTTAAATATTTCTGTCATATAATTGTTATTTAGAAACGTTTCTGGGTTGTTTTTCTTGTTTATTATTAAACATATGTCTTTGACTTATCATTTCAACTTTGAAGGAATGATCAATAAATTATTTAAATTTGTTAATGATATTAAGGTCGTAGGTGTTGCTAGCTGTGTGGAGGATCTTGCTGCTTTACAAAAGGATTTAGATCATTTAGTGAGTTGGGCAAATAAATGGCAGATGGGTTCTAATT